ATTTTTGGAACGCAGCGGGACTAAAAACACCGTACGCGGGTGAGGGGGGAATGTGTCCGTGAGATACAAACTCGCCGCTCTAGCTCCGTGTTTGTTCGGTGGTGGTGAGACAAGGAGGATCGAGATTGATGTTCGTCCTTGTCTAACTAACCTACTTACATTCCTTCACATAGCACGGAACACAACCACGTGGACGTAGCACGGATCACCACCAAAAGATCGTGGACATTACCGACAAGATCGTGGACATTGGCTGCGTAGTTGAATATCCACGTTTTGTGGACATAGAGGCGCTCTCAGGAGTCAGGATCCTTTTACTCTCTGGTCAAAGCGTCCTGCGTCAGAGCGAAAGCAGATTAGAGGTTATCTCCCAAGAGTCCTAGGCTCCTACAGCGGTACAGCTAGATCCGTCCGCCGAAAAATAAACATTATTTCAAGATACGACAGAATATATCCGTGACAATTTGCGTGACGTTTGCTGACATTCGAGATCATGTATTCTATATGCAAAAGTACCCATCCCGCAACGGGAGTCGAGCACGCGATCACATGCCACTTTTTTAACCGCACCGAGAAATGCCTCGTTGTTGCCGGCGCGAATATTATACGGGTGTTCCGTTTGATTCCCGACGTCGACATGACAAGGAGGGAGAAATACACAGGTACACCCTTTTATTTCAACTTTCTCACACACTACTTAATCGAATATACATATAAGCTGAAAGAACATGCGTATATATTATTCTCTCTGTGCAGAAACACGTCCCCCTAAAATGAAGCTGGAATGCCTGGCGCAGTACACCTTGCACGGGAACATCATGTCCATGCAGTCTGTTCATCTTATCGGCTCACAAAGGGACTCTCTGCTGCTCAGCTTCCGCGACGCGAAACTGTCCGTCGTCGAATACGATCAGGACATTCACGACCTGAGAACTGTGTCGTTGCATTACTTTGAAGAGGAAGAGATAAAGGTTGCAATTTTTATGAGAAGGAGCTACAAGCTTCCAATTCTAAAGGACTAAACTTCGTTTTTAGAACTGTCATTCTTGTTTGAAAGTTTTCTGTTTATTTTTGCAAGAAACAATGCAATATTAAAATTTGTTTATCCTCAGTTATTAAATTCGTGTTTCAAATACTTTGTTTTTATCCCCAATTGTATTCTTAGCAAATTTTCAAGTTATATTTTAATTGACTAGGATGGATGGACAAATCATCATCATATACCGATAGTAAGAGTGGATCCTGAGGGAAGATGCGCGGTAATGCTGATATTTGGTAGAAAACTGGTTGTGTTACCCTTTCGTAAGGATCCCAGCCTCGACGATGGTGACTTACTTGACACTACGAAATTAACATCTTCCAATAAGACTCCGATATTATCCTCATATATGATAGTATTGAAAACACTGGAGGAGAAGATGGATAATGTAATAGACTTACAGTTTCTGCATGGATATTACGAACCTACGTTATTAATTTTGTACGAACCAGTGAGAACATTTTCAGGGTAAGGATTAGTTTCATATTTATGAAGTACATAAGAAAAATTATACATTCATTAATAAAAAAAAAACATGAACTGTTGTGATCTGTGTATACAGGCGTATTGCGGTAAGACAGGATACTTGTGCAATGGTCGCCATATCTTTAAATATTCAGCAAAGGGTTCATCCTATCATTTGGTCTGTCTCAAATTTGCCATTCGACTGCTACCAAGCTGTACCTGTGAAGAAGCCACTGGGTGGCACCCTGATAATGGCAGTCAACTCGCTTATTTATTTGAATCAAAGCATACCACCTTATGGAGTGTCACTTAACAGTTTAGCAGATACAAGTACAAATTTTCCATTAAGTAAGTGTAATTTCTATTGGTGTTATAATATTATAATACAATTTGTAATGTCCATGTATATTAATTATTAAATGTATTTGTTACTTGTCATTTTTGCAGAGCCGCAGGAAGGAGTGAAGATGAGTTTAGAAGGAGCCCAGGTGGCATTTATATCTGCAGATCGTTTAGTTATTTCTTTGAAAAGTGGAGAGCTCTACGTTTTGTCCCTCTTTGCCGACAGTATGCGATCTGTGCGTGGATTTCACTTTGACAAGGCTGCTGCTAGTGTGTTAACATCATGTGTAAGCATTCGTACTTGATTTTTAATATTAATATTATATATATATATATACATATATATATATGATAGTAAATATGTATTTTTTCGACGGCATATGCTTATGTTGTGTACTCGTTATATTTTAGGTATGCATGTGTGAGGATAATTATCTTTTCCTCGGCTCTCGACTTGGTAATTCGTTACTCTTACGATTTACGGAGAAGGAGCCGGAAACTTTGAAAAATCTGAACGATAGTGAGATTACCATTGAAGAAAATGAAAGCGAAGAGACTCCGGCCAAGAAAGCGAAGCAAGACTTTCTTGGTGATTGGATGGCATCGGATGTATTGGATATCAAAGATCCAGAAGAACTAGAAGTGTATGGCAGTGAAACTCATACATCCATTCAGATCACTTCGTATATTTTTGAGGTATCAGCAGCTTTTCCTATATGTATCCTCTGTTATATTTTAATTTTAATTGTTTATTTTGTGCTATTTTTATTTGCAATTAATTTTTGGCTTGTAGGTATGTGATAGTTTATTGAACATAGGTCCGTGTGGAAATATTTCCATGGGGGAACCAGCCTTTCTGTCGGAAGAATTTCTACAGAATCAAGATCCCGATGTAGAACTTGTTACAACGTCCGGATATGGAAAGAATGGTGCACTCTGCGTACTGCAACGTTCTATACGTCCGCAGGTAAATGATACAACATGTTCACGTATACAATATTCTTTATTTTAATACATTGCCGTGGTAAAATTAATTTTATTTTATACTTTCTTTTAAGTCTCATGAATATTTTGTGTAGACAAAGCTAATCATGTTGCTTTAATTGGGAGAAAAACAATTATTGATTTGTATAGAATTTATACTTGTTTACATTAAAAAAAAAAACCATTCTAGATCAATCAGAAAGTTTTTGATTATTATTAAAATTAAACTTGCAAATTATACAATGCTACGTTTATAAATGTCTTCTGATAAATTTCTGATTAAAAAAAATAGGTTGTGACAACATTTGAGTTGCCTGGCTGTGAAGATATGTGGACTGTCATTGGCATATTAAACAACGATGAAATCAGAACGGAAGCAGAAGGATCTCATGCTTTCTTAATATTAAGCCAAGAAGATTCGACTATGGTATAATATTTTTAACATATTTAAATGACGCTTTATATATTTCAGATGATCATTAATTGATTCATAATTCAATTTATTTACAATTGATTTACAGGTTTTGCAAACCGGTCAAGAGATTAATGAGGTAGACCAGAGTGGATTTAGTACACAGGGGAGTACAGTATTTGCTGGTAATCTTGGTGCTAACCGATACATTGTACAAGTTACTCAAATGGGAGTGCGTCTTTTGCAAGGCATTGAACAGGTATTTATGTTAACTTTTAAATATTTATTGATTTTATTTGTGCGATTTTTGCTTTTCATAATTTTTTTTA